TTTAAATTTTTTTTTTTTTTTTTTTTTTAGGATAGATTTATTCGCCATATATGGCAGACATCTTTGAAAAATTATTTCTCAATCGATATCATTTTCGAAAATACTCATTAGGACGATGATTATTATTATTATTATTATTATTATTATTATTATTATTGTTATTATTATTATTGTTTATTAATTTTTCAATTCGACATACGAAGGTTATATTAAAAGTTCGTTGACTTTAATATCTCTCAGATTGTTGGAAATATTTTTGTTCATACGCATGCAGCACAAAGAGAGAGAGAGAGAGAGAGAGAGAGAGAGAAAGAGAGACATAGATCAGATTTTGGAGGTTATGAATATCTTTGGAGAATTGATAGCACGAAAGCTGTTACGTAACTTCCCAAAAATGCGTTGGGTGTCGGTCGAATGACGCAGTTATCGTTATCATGTTATTCTCTTATTCTCCTTTTTTTTTTCTTTTTGCTTTTACTTTCGATCATTGTTCAAGATTAGAAAAAAATCTTTGCAAATTTCGTTTGTTTCAGTAATTAATAACAAATCGTTCGTTTATAATACGTTCGAGAAATTTTTTAATATTTATAACTATGTATTGTTAAAAATCAATACATACGTACGACATATATATATATATATATATGTATGTATAATGTATATGTACATATGTAATATGTTAGTGATACAATACTGGCCTAAAAATGAGATTCTTTTTTTATTATTATTTTCTTCTTTCTTTTCTTTTCTTATTTTTTTTTTTTTTTTCTTTTTTTTTTTTTTAAATCACATATGGACACTGATAACGTCGCCATTGTCGGAGATAACGAAACAATTTTTTGGTATCATCTAGATAAAATTGTTTAATGATTATAATTTCTTTTTTTCGAGGATTCGTACAATTAGTAAGAATTTTTAATTCGTATATAAATATATATATATATATGTATGTATATGAAGTATATATATATATATGTGTTATAAAAGAAAAATATTTTGATATTTCGCCGTTAACATTTTTCAGTATCATTATGTCTTCATTTTCTTTTTTTTCTTTTTGTTTTTTTTCTTTTATTATTTTTTTTGTTTTTTTTTTGTTTTTTTCACATATAAGAGAATGCTTTCCATGGATGCATATATCGGATAATATCAAAATTGTTATAAACTTATCGAGAAAATATTTCTATCTAATTTATTCTTTCATTAATAATACAAATGAGAACGACGTCGTGATATATTATTATTATACATGAAAAAAAGGAAAGAAAGAGAAAAGAAAAAAAAATTCTTTTTCTCTTTTTTTTTTTAGATTTTTACGGAAAGAAAATTTGGAATAAAAAAAGAAAATGTGTATATACACATATGTATTTATCCAACGATATTGTATTTTCTTTTTTGTCTTTCTTTTTCTCTTCCATATCTTCTTGCAACAAATTATTTTCGATTTTAAATTATTAACATTATCGTCCGATATAACCTCAATTACAATTTTACCAATTAATACCAGATAATATTTTCTTATGCACACATGCATATGTATATATATATATATTTTTTTTTTTATGTTTATTTTATAGATATATATATATATTTTTATTTCGTGAAAATATTTTTTAACAATATTATATATGCGTATAGATATTAATCTCATGTATATATACATATATATATGTATATATAAAATTTTTTTTCGACATAACCTCAATTCGAAAAAAAAGAATAAATAAAAATAAAAATAAATAAATAAATAAATAAATAAAAAAAAGTAGAAAAATACATGGAAAAAGAAAAAGAAAAAGAAAAGCAAGAAAAAAAATATATTCAGTCAAGTTCATAGAAAAGAAATGTTTCGTGGTCAAATTATCTTTTTATTCATTTGGTTATTCACCCAATGGCTTTGAATGCATAACAAAACAGTTTGAACGAGTACTAGTTGATTCTTATTTAAGAACAGGTTGTATCAGAGTCAACGTACAAATGGTTTGTGGTCTTCCTGTTAGGAATTCTTTGGTCACGTGCCATTTCTCTCTCTCACCCTCTCTCTCTTTCTCTCTCTCTCTCTTTCACTCTCTCAATTTCATTATATTAATTTTTTTTTTTCCCAATAATATTAAAATTCTTTTTCCTCGATTGGAGAAAAAGCTCGTTTTAAAAATAATATAAATCATGATTATAAATGGAGGTAAAAGATTTTATTATTTTTGTTTTGTTGTTTTCTTTATTATATTCTTTCTTCTCTTTGAAAAAATTAAAAATTCATTGCAAAGTAATATAACATTCAATGTTAACAAAAGTTATTATATTTTTTGTTATTGTTGTATAATAATAATAATAATAATAATAATAATAATAATAATAATAATAATAATAATAATAATAATAATAATATTTAACAATAAGGAATCCCACACCTACACCATACATTTGTTTTACACCATACAATTGTATTCTTTTTTTTTTTTTAGTTAATTTTTTCTCTTTTATTTTTATTAAGTATATAATGGATCATAACGATGAACATTTTTCTTTCTTATTTATTTTATTTTTTCTTTTTTTTTTTTTTTTTTTTTTTCAAAAAATGTTCAGACATATATATATATATATATATATATATATGTATATATATATATATATGCATTATGCCGTTTTACATATCAATTTGGTTTCTTTTTTTTTTCTTCCTCCTCTTCGATGAATCAAGGAATTTAACATTTTGTAGTAATAGTATGTAATGTTTTCTCTTTTTTCTTTTTTGTGTTATTTTACAAAAAGAAGAATTACCTTAATTAATATTTATAAATATTGGCCTTGTTTTGAAAGAAGTCAAACATATAAATTACAAAATAGATTATTATTAATTTGCATACGGTTGAAGATTAGACGGAATCTTTTCCTGTTTCTTTTTTCTTTTTTTTTCTTTGTTTTTTTTTCTGTATTTATTTTTTCTTTTTTTTTTTCCTTTTATTTTCTTTCTTTTTTTTTCTATTTTTTATTTTAATAGTATAGTTTTTAATAAAAGTAAACAATTGTATTAAAAATCATAGGTAACATTGTTTTATAAAATTGTATGTGAGAATTTTCTTTATGAGAAGAAAAAGAAAGAGAAAAGAAAAATAATAATTAATAACAAATGCGGTTAAAATTTGTAATTTAGAACGTTATTTTTAAAAATTTGAATTTATATATATATATATGCGAAGAACAAATTAAAAAATTCTTGTAACGCTACAAACCATTTTTCATACTATCATAGAACTATTGCGAATAAATTTGTGTGATCGAATAATAGTTAAAATATTTAACGTTGTTAAATAACACGTTAATGATAATCAACAATGTGTTTTCTTTTTAATATACAATAAATTTGTTCGTTCGATGGTTGTAAAAATTGATAAACTTGTAACACGTAGGGACAAAAATTAGAAATTAATATGCACATGTAAAATTGATATTTAGTTATGCTAAAATGAAAACGAGAGTAAAAAAGAAAAATGGAAAAGAAAAACAGAAAAAAAAGAAAAAGGAGAGAAAAGAAAGAGAGAGAGAGATAGAGAGACACAGAGAGAGAGAGAGAGAGAGAGAGAGAGAGAGAGAGAGAGAGAGAGAGAGAGAGAGAGAGAGAGAGAGAGAGAGACACAGAGAGAGAGAGAGAGAGAGAGAGAGAGAGAGAGAGAGAGAGAGAGAGAGAGAGAAAACAATTAAAGTTGATATATAATTTCAAACATAAAAATCATATTTCCAAATAAATTATATCGAAATCATGAATTTACTTGAATACCCCTAACACGAAAATAAACATATAACTCATGAAATCAACTTCTCGCTTAAGTGAAACATAATTAATTAATTAATTAATTAATTAATTAATTAATTAATTATTAATGTATGCATATTCTTATTATATATAAATCTACTTACAAAGAAGAATTATTTACAAGTTTATTTTTAAATGTAGATTTCGATGAATTCGACTAATAAATCTTTGTTTTATCTTGTTGAAAATAATAATATGATCGAATACGTTTTTTTTTCTTTTTCTTTTTTTTTTCTTTTTTTTTCTTTCTTTTTTTTTTCCCATAATTGTTGTAATTAATACAAAATCCTCCTTTGCCTATACAAACAAGAACAATTGTATAGATTTAAATATTATTAAATGCTGCGGAGGGAAAAGCTCTGTGTATGTTTTTATATATCTATTTTATATATATATATATATATATATATATATATATATAAAGGATATATAAAAAGTTTAAATTATAATGCATACAAAGAAAGATTTCAATTTCATTGTAGTAAAATCTTTTTATAAAGAAATTCTTTCATTCTTTTACTTTAATCAATTGGATGATTAGATGTTTTAATACTTGGCATTAGAATATGCTTTTCATTTGCAATATTCATCATAAACATCATCCTTTTGTTAAGATTTAATTTTCATCTAAGAATTTATTTATCAGAGATATTTTAATCATAATAAGGTGTAAAGAGTAGAATTAAGATTTTCTGTAAAAAAAAAAAAAAAAAAAAAAAAAAAAAAAGAAAAAACAGAAAAAAAAAAAAAAAAGAAAAAACAGAAAAAAAAAAAGAAAAAAACATTTTCTATATTGCAAAGAAGTTTGAAGAAATTTGAAATATTTGTCAATTGTTATTAACACAAACTTTATAATTTAATATTTAAAATCAAGATGCACTTTAAACGGAGTAACAGAGCTGTATAATATATATATATATATATATATATATATATTATATGGATATACACATACATTTGTGTGTATATGTGTATATATATATGTATATACACATACATAAAAAATATTGCAGAACCTAAGACTAATATTCAAATGCAACTGAAACTTAACGCTAACATTGTTAAATTTCAGGGGCACCAAGTACACATTATTCTATGCTCACAACGTAACATAGTAAGACATGACAGGTGATGACAAACACACGTGTCATTTTAATATAGTGGAATATGATTGAAACATAGCGAGAGTTATTAAATTCTGTCTAATAGAAATTTTTGACGTGACTTTTGTAGAAAAATTCTTTGTACATATATAAAAAGATTGTATATAATAATCGGAATATGTGTGTGTGTGTGTGTGTATATGTTTGTTTGTTTGTGTGTTTCTTTTTGTCGAAATCAGGCACTCAAATGAAGTCTTTATACGAAACACCAGCTCAGAGTTTTAGATTTAACTAAAAGATATTACCTTACTTATCTTCCAGAAATATTGTTAAAAATTAATAAAATATTCGGCTGAACGTTCGTAAACATTTCTACGAATGATAAATCTAAAAATTTCCTTAACAACTCTGTGCGCTCAGTGTATTCCCAAAATTCCTGTTTCATTTTCGACACAGAACGGGGCGGTCAATCATCTTTTGCTTTATTTTTGATTTCACAGACGTCAGATTTTGCATTTTGTTGATCCAATTTATTTTCAGTCTCTTGCTGACTACCTTCATCCTCCTCATCCGAATAATTCGTTGGTTCCTCTCCCGGTTTTAATAATTTCCCAACATAATCGTACCTCTCTAAAATTAAAAACAATCGTCTTTCTATTTTAATAATCATGAATTTTACAAATTTTAACACAATTTACATGCAATTATTAATTATAATGAAATTTTAATAAATTATCTTTCTTCCTGTCATATTTCAATATCAATGTGTGAACTTCGATCTCATAAATAATGAATAAAAAAAAAAAAAAAAAAAAAAAAAAAAAAAAAAAAAAGGAAAAAAAAGAAGAAAAGAAAAGAAAAAGAAAAAAAAAACAAAACAAAAAGACCATTGAATAATCACACGAGAACAATAGTATTCATTTATGAAACAGAGAATACTTAAATAAGCAGGCATCGATAGGAAATTTTTTATTCTAATAAAATCCTTTATACATTAACCACTTGCAGTGGAAAGTCGTGCCACGTATGACGAGATGCTTCTGTTACTGTGATGTGATACACACGTCGTCAGGCAATTGTTGCAGAAAGAAAAATGACGTGCGTGGCACGCCAACCGTGAATTTCTTTGCACCACAAGTGATTAAATTTATTTTAACGTAATTAAATAATTAAGAAAATAGAGAAAAATGTATAATAAAACGTGCCTTTAAATTGCAATTCCCATTCCTTCATAGAACTCATTTGTTCACTGTCTAAATCGCTCAAATCATCATACTCGTCTTTAATCGGTTCTAATGTAAATGTTGCTAATCCTCTGCTAGCATCACGTCCAGCAAATACTGCATATGGTGCACCTGCATAAAATATATACAATTATGTATTAAGAAATAATATATACACACACATATACATATATATGTAATATATATATATTAATATTATATTATATATAATACTCAATATCATATCTATCATATATATATATATATCATATATATCAATAATATAAATAAAATGTAAATACTATGTCAATAATATTAACAAAATAATGTATGTATATACATATATGTATGTATGTTAATGTATATGTGTATATATGCATGTATGTACATGCAGATATATAAATAAATATCATTAGAGGAAATGTGGGAAAAAAAAATAAATAAATAAAAAAAAAAATAAAAAGAAGAAAGGAACAAAAAGAAAAAAAGAGATTAATTAAATACTTATCGTGCATGTGATTGGACGTAAACTTTGACTTCAAGATCAGAAAGATATCTAATGACCTCTGTGGTTTTCTATTTACGTTTCAAACAATTAGAAATAATCTAACGTACATTGAAACGCAATTAGAATTTAATACGATTTAAATATCTGTCAAATATCGTTCGTTCATACATATTTTAAATATCATAAAGTATTATAAATATTGAATATTTAAAAAAAAAATAAAAAAAAAATAAATAATCATTAGGTGGAAAAAAGGGAGGAGAGAGGAAGAAAAAATGAAATATATATATATATTACACGTATACACACATACTCATATACATATAATAGCATTGTAATACTTGCCAGGGCCGTAGAACGTGGCACCTCTTGTAACATCATAAACGCTTCCATTAAGTGCAACCAATATTCTTCCGTCGGTCCCATTGCCGTCATACTTTTTCAATTCCTCGATAGTAAAGTCACGATGTAATTTTGGTAAATGTTTGATCTCTTCCAATGGTTCCTCCGATTTAATTTTACTCTTAATTATTTTATATACGAGTAGGGCTATTATACCGACCAATAAAAGATTAATCGGACTTTTAATGATTTCCTCGACGAAACTCGTTAGAAATAACGAATTATTATTATTTTGTTGACCGATCGTAGCCGACGTGGAACCCGGCGTTATTGAGTCGCTCTTTTCGGCCATCTTGACCAACCACTAAGAGAGAGATAGCTTCGCGCTAGTCAAACGAAAAATTGTGTTACTACGAAAGTTAAAAAAAAAGAAAAATAAAAAAAAAAAAATGAAAAAGAAAAAACCAGGACCACGACGACCGATCGAACGAACGAGTCAACGTTCGATATTTTTTGTGCAGGGGAGAGAAAAGAAAAAAATTATGTTTATTTTCTTTTTTCTTTTCCTTCTTTCTCTTCCTCCTTTTCCTCTTCCTCTTCCTCTTCTTCTTCTTCTTCTTCTTCTTCTTTCTTTTTTTTTTTCCTTTTCTTTTCTTACGCTCGTTACGATCTATACAATAGATTGCCCTCGGAACTTTTGGGCGAACAAATTGTTCGTATTAATGTGTATGTTTAATCGAATAAAATGATTTTATTACGTAGTTTATAAATGTTTGAAAAATATTCTTTAATAGATCTGTTATACGACGTGTCCGCCGCTCGACTGCGCCAGACGGACTAACAGCGGCAACATCGATGTTGGTTACGTGCTTCGATATACATCATTCTTTCCCTTTCCCCCTCCACACTCCTTTTATTCACTCTCTCTCTCTCTCTCGATCGTTCGCTCTCATTCGCTCGTTCGACTAGACTATCTTCCCCTCCCTTCCCCACTCCTCACCTCACCGAACAATTCTAACCTTCTTCATGTTTAACCAATAGTGCCGTAACATCGTTCACTTCTCCCTTCTCATTTTTCTTTCATTTGTCATTACGTTCCTACATCGTGTCGTCGTACATATTTCTAGGTTAGATCTACTTCACTTAAAGGTAATATATTTAAACAGCATATATATTTGCATATATATATATGTTTTTATTTTCTTTCCTTTTTTCTTATGCACGTTTAAATTTTCGTAACTAAAGTAATATATTTTTAGGTTATAACTTTCTCTAGTTACGTATAATTCGTAAATTTAATAACGTTATGTATACATTTTAAATCTACGTTGTATTTCTCCAGGGACGGAGGGATGAAGGGAGAGGTGAGGATGGATTAAGACGATCATTTTTTTTTTCTTTAATAATTTTAATAAATAAAATTTAATAAATATCTTTTACTTTATAATATTTAAATAGATATTTATAGGTCGAAAGGATTGGCGAAGGGAAGCAGATGGGGGAGGGAAAAAAATTTTGGTAAAATTTCGACGAAACCTATTTTAATACGTTACTGAGTCATAAGATACGACGTATGTGTTGTATGTCTCGTTAGGTTAAATAGTCATTTCGAATGATTGTGATGATGTTACTTATGACGTTGCGGTTTTATGATAGGCGATAGGTTAGACGATTTTATATATATATATATCCATTTCCTTTTTTGTAAATAATTTTTCTACTTCAGATTATATGTTAATAACTGTAACATAATTGTATGTTAAATACTTGATTTAAATACATATATTATAATTATTATCTAACAATCTTGTTTTGCGTTTTATTGTAAAAAAGAAAACAAAAAAGGATGAAAATTACACGTGTGATCATAAATATACGATATCGATTATGATAACCACGTTAAAGAGATATGATTTTATTAAAATTGTTAAATGACGTGGAAGAAACATGTGAACGTGTTAAAATGATTCGCAAAAAGTTATTCGACCTCGTTTTCTCGTATTCATGCAGTCTCATTGTCTCTCTCTCTTATCTGTAATATTCTTGGTTATGTATGAGTACGTTTGATATACATATCTTCGTATTTATGTGCATTCACATCAGATGGCGATAATGATATTTTCCTTTTTTTTTTCTTTTTTTATTATTATTATTATTTTTATTATTGTTATTATTACTTATTACACGAAAGTTCTGTCATAAAAAAAAAAATAAAAAATAAAAAAAAGATAATCCAATAATAGAACATAAAGTGAATCAGTAATAGAAATTATATAAAGTTAACAAGAAAGCTATTTATTTTATTTATCTGTACACGTCAAACATATATATATATATATATATATATATATATATATATATATATATATGCGTGTGTGTGATTAATTAATATAATCAAATTGTACTTATACTGGACGGTATTGTTTATCAAGATCAAGCTAATATATTTTTTAACCATTCAATGTGTTAAGCATCTTACATAATTTAAATATATGTACAATTATCTTTATGAGTATTTAAAAATTTTTATCATGCAATTATCATTTATCTAAGACATTAGAGAACATAAACTTTTAGTGCAATCATAAATAATATATATATATATATATATATATATATATATATATATATATATATATATTTAAAATTGACAAGTTAAACTTTTTCTATTGTATTTTCTTGAAGATCAAGATATGGACGGATATCAATTGTCGATGATATAATATTGGGATCTATGTGTTCAGAACACATTGGACATGTCTCATCAGATTCAATGATTCTATTGAAAGAAAAAAATGTATTATTAATTGAAAGATTTATTATTTTCAAGTGAGGGAAGATAAAAAAAAAAGAAAATAATACTAACCGTAAAAATTCACTTCTGATGGCAGGAAAATCGCATTGAGGACAAACTGTAAAATTATCTTCTACGATATGTCTACCCTGAAATATATTACATATATATATATATATATATATATATTGAATATATATATATATATATATATATTGAATAATATTCAATATATATATATATATTGAATATTATTTCTATATACTGTATATATTATGATAAAAAAAAAAGAAAAAGAAAAAACAACTTTACCGTAGCTATGCAAAATGGAATTGTATTTTTGCATTTATCACATGTTATTTCAGTCTCTGGAACTTTATTTTTACAATAAGGGCATGGAGTTAAAGGTTCGTCCTCGAGCTCGTTATCTTTAGCCCTTGGTGGTTTTCTTACTATGGCCTCGATTTTCTTACTATATTTAATATCAATTTGTGTTCTATATTCAGGACGCATTAACATAGCTGCAAAATTAAATGCCGCTTGTTTCAAGCCTGCTCTGTGACATTCTATAACTGTTGAAGTTAAAATTGGTACGATGTCTGCAAAAAAAAAAAGAAAAAAGAAAATTTTTTTATTTCATTTAATGATATTTGATTTATTCCCTTTTTTTTTTCTTTCTCTCTCTCTCTCTACTTTTAATTATTTCTTATACTAACGTGATGGAAATTTAGATATATTATTTGCAACTCTGATCAACATTCTGGCACCTCGTAAATGGTCGTTCCTTTTTACATGAAGTCTTACCAATATGTAAGAATGTAATAATCTCAAATTATTTTGCATTTCCAATGGCGTATTTATTTTATTTCTTTTTAATTCTTGATACATCCCAAACAAAACATCATGAGCATTTCTGTAATTTCCTAAAAAAAAAAAAAAAAATAATATAAGATATTATGATAAAAAAAAAAAAAAAGAAATATATAAATGAATACATACCATTAATTTGTTCTTCATTGGCAATAATTATTGCTGTTTTCGCTGCCTCTTTATATTGTTTCCTTGCCATATATAATCGAAACAAATATTTTGGATCCTATACATAAAGAAGAAGAAGAAAAAAATATAATAAATATAATTCTAAAGATATATATTAACAATTAATAATATACCTTTGGTACTCCATCTGAGCCTAACAAAAAATCTATTAAATGATTAGCTAATTTTTCATCTTTAGATGATGCCACTGTATCTATTGCCAATGATAATGCCATGTCGTCATCAACAGTTAATTGTGCTGCTTTAAGTAAATGCTTTAATGCCTATAAAAATGATTATTCTTATTGTAATTATTTATTGATTTAATATAACCAACCAGCTAATAATAATAATAATAATAATAATAATAATAATAATAATAATAATAATAATAATAATAATAATAATAATAATAATAATAATATTATTATTATTATTTAAAAGTTTAACCTTTTGGTAATCCTTAGCATGAAAATAATATTTGCCTGCCAAAAGGCTATTCTTTTGTGACTCAAAATGTACAGCAAGATTCTTAAAGTCTTCCTTTCTGTTATTATCATCGTCAATAGTATTTATTAAAATTTCACCATATAATTCCATTTTACCATGCTGATTGGCAAGTTGAAAAGCTTCGTCATGACAATTTGACATAATTAAAAATTTAATAGCCGAATTATAATCATTTATCTTTTGAAAATATTTAGCTATCCTTTTGGCACCATCAATGCTTTTAGTTTGTTGTACAATCTCAACGCTTCTAGCTGTTATTAATATAAAAAAAAAAAAAAAAAAAAAAAAAATAAATAAATAAATAAGAAATATGAGATAATAACAATTGTAACTTAATATCAATTAATAATTATTTCTAACCAGGATTATTTAAATATTCAAGATTGATTCTAATAATATTATCATAATCCTTAGCAGTTTCGTATGCCTTAGCAGCTTCCTCATACTTTCCCTCTGATTCTTTTGCTTTGGCATATTGTATATTTATCTTAGGGGATGATATTTGAGGCAAAAGTTGTCCCACTTTATGCCAATTCTTTAATTTGATATAAGCGGATGCTGCTTTATCAAAATAATCTGCTTTCTCGTAAAGCAACGCAGCTTCATTGATTTGCTATAAATATATTGATATTATTTATATAATAATTGTTGTCCCCCACCCTCCCATTTTTGAGGGGGGGGGGGAAATAATTTCATGAAAAAACAACCTTCATAGTTTCCAAAATTTCTGCGCATTCCTTTCTCAATGATCTAGAACTGTCATTGTCCATTGCAATACTGACACCTCTTCTACTGTCACCACATCTAATAGACATTCTTGCGATACCAGCCAAACATTGATTTTTATGTTGAATATCATTTAAATTGAAATGAGATGTTGTATTTGGATCGAATAAACCACGCTCATAATTGGCCAATGCTTTTGGATAATTTCCACTGTTAAATAATTGAGTGAAAAATTTTGTTTAAAAAATTAATATATAATTTAATTTGATTTAATGAAATTAATAAAATTAATATATGATTTAAATCAACATACATAAATTCTAATTGTTGCGCATATTCTCTGGCGATGAATGGTATTTCGTCGGATTTTAATTTCTGTGCTAAACTAAGAGCTTGTTCCCATTGCATCAAATCCCTTCGCAGATATAAAGCTTGTACTGGTTCGGTTGATTGTAAAAAGAATTTCTCAGCTTGATTATAATCTCCAAGTAACAATGATGAATGGCCGCATAATAAATTTAATTCATTTATATTTTCTATTTTTTCTAATGCCCAAACCATCGAAGCATCTTCAATACGTCGATAAACTCTAATGGCTAGAATGGTGATATTAGATTTAAAGAGAGAGAGAGAGAGAAAAAAATAAATAAATAAATAAAAGTAGAAAAACAAATTTACCAAATTCAATATTTAAATTTGCAATTGCACTTTGACCCAATTTCAACCATAGATCATTGTCATTTAATTTATCGCAAATATTCCAAGCATTGTCGTATCTGTAAAGAAAATTCAAGAAAATAAAAAAAAAAAAAAAAAAAAAAAAAAAAAAAAAAATGAACAAATGAAAGACAAAAGAAATGTTACTGATTTTTTTTTCTCTTTTTTTTTTTTTTTTTAATTGATACAACAATTCAAACTTTTGTTATATCTTTTTTTATTATATCATCTCTGATTTACCTTCTACACATAATATGATTGTTGAATATCTCATTGATCTTTTTGGTATCCACTATATTTCCAACGTCCTCATGAGAAGCTAATGTTATTTGTATTAATTTACTACTTGGTGTGCTTAATGTCACTTCACCAGAATACATTAACATGGGTAATGCTTCCGATGGCAATTTCGTTGAATTCACTTTGATTATCTTTTGACCTTTTATGATTCATAAAAAAAAGAAAAAGAAAAAAAAAAAAAAATCCATATAATTTAACACTTAATGTTACTTATAAATATTTAAAAGGAAAAAGAAAAAATGAAAAAAAGAAAAAAAAAAAGAGAAAAAATTTAACTCACCTTCGACAAAGTATTTGATAAAAATATATGTAACGATAACATTTTTATTGTATATTGCAAATATCGAACGTTCGAAAATATTTTGATCCCATATAATACCTTCTATGGATTCTGGTGATTCAGGCACTTGAATGATATTTTCATTGATTGGATCATATAAATAAACATCCGATTTATTATCAATGAAACATAATTGTGTACCATTTGCATCTAAATATATATTTTTAATACCATTGTTATGGGTAAACTCTGTCGACTTATTAAATGCTTCTAAATAAAAATATATAATACGGCCCATCTGAAAGTTTTATTAATAAAATATTTATTTCGTTTGTTTAATTTCTTTTTTTTTTTTTTTTTTTTTTTTTTTCTTTTTTTGTCCCCCAACGATAATAAATAAAACAAATAGATTTACATCAGTCCCATAAATTAGAAATTCTGTTGACAATGCATGGCACGTTATTCTTTCATTTAAATTATTTGATTCAGGAAATAATTTTGTATCTTTGCCAATGTTTATTAACGTCTGATCCACTTTGATCTGAAATGAAACAAATTTTTTATTACTTTATTAACAATTTAGACCTTTTGGATTTATAATAATAATTAATAATATATATATATATACCAATTGTAATTGTAATTTTCCATCGAATAAAACGGAAACATATGTTTCGTTTAAGGATATACTATCAACAGTTGCTAAATAATCACGTTCAAAATGTGTATTAATGTCATATTGATAAGTAGATAAATCCCAAAATAGTGCTCTATTGTTTAATGCTACAGCTACATGAAGTGGTCCTACAGCCAATACAGATGGTTCTATTATAGTATTAATTATTTGTGGTTCTGATTTTTCCTATAAAATTAAATAAATTATAAATGTGATTATATCATGAAAAAAAAAAAAAAAAAAAAAAAAGAGAGAAGAGAGAGAACAAAAGCCATTTTAATTTATATATACCTTATCTAATGTGTAAAGGTGTACGGTAACTTCAATTAAACTTGTTAACAATGCTATTCTATTACTGCAAACGCTTGTTAATTTTGGAATTTCAACTAAATAAATGAGAACGTTTCCAATGTAAGTTACTACTGCTATCATTGTACCATCCGTTGACCATTCAACTTTACTAATACCAGTTTCACCAGTCACAGAAATCATTTTTTCTGTTTCCTCTAAATTTTGTAAACTATGTATTTTGACAATGCTATCACCACAGGTGGCTACCTTTCCAATATTTTCACTTAACGAGATATCTGTTAAAGTATCCTTATGATTTTTTATTTGAAATAATTCCTGACCGACTTCTTTTATATGAGTAGATATGGCAATGAAATATCCAGCTTCAAAACCAACTAATATATATCCATCTCCGTACCTATAAAAAAAAAAAAAAAAATTTTATTTCATATTTATATTAATCATCCTTATATCATTTTATATATAGATTATTACCATTTATAGGTAACAATTGGACCATAACGTTTTTGAAAGGCTAATTCGATTGGATTATCCGGATCCAAAATATTATATAGAAATAATGTAGTTTTACTGACGACAAGAGATACCTTAAAAAAAAAAAAGATAAATAAGAAGATATAGAAAATCACATATTGATTATAAATTATATAATAATTTATACTGTATTTTCTCCTCCAATACGATGATCCATTTTCATTTCACTAAATTGTATGTCAGATGGATCACCTTGCAATGTTATTTCCCTACGAGTATCACCTTCTCTAGTATTGATCGTTAACATTTTATCTTCGCTTGCTAAAGCTAAAAGACCTTCTATCGACCATGCACCGCATAGTATTCGTTTCTTATGTTTACCCAATATTGGTATACGCCTATATAAATAACATTAATATTACACATTAGAAAAAGTATTACGATTATTAATCACTTGCGATGCAAAGAAATTCAAGGTTGCATCGTGTCAGAATAATCGAGTGCAAATCACTTCAGGGTGCAAATAATATCACTGATTTTACTATCACTTTCCATTTTACAGTCTGAGTTCAATACTGATAATTTTGCACGATGAAGTACAATCAGAAACTAGATAAAGAATTTCATTAACAGTTGACGTGCCACGCACGTCATTTATCTTTCTACAATAATCACCTGACGACGTGTGTAACACGTTCCGGTAACAGAAGCATCACGACGTGCGTGACACGTCTTTCCATCGCAAGTGGTTAAAATTAATAAATATATTAAAGATAAAAAAAAAAAAAGGATATTATTATATACTTGGCATTAATATGATCGTATAGTATTAAATTTCCTTTATGCGTTCCAACGGCTAATAGACAATTTCTTTTGGCCCATATCATACAAGTTAGATTATCCCTAACGCCCGCATCCATTTGAGACTTTTTACCAGTGGTCGCATCCCACAAAGTTATTATAGAAGAGTTTTGCGATATGATCGCTAATAAATCACCATCTGCGTCCCAACCAAAGCCAGTACATAATCCAGGAATTTGTATACGCTCTTGAAGATCACCTTGTCTATCAAATATTGCGACGGATGAATCGCAACCTGTAGTTGCAATATGTGTACTATTACCAGGACGCCAGGAAGCGTAGACAGTTCCAGTACCATGAGGCTGATCCAAGCGATAGAGTATCTTAATGAAAAATAAAAATTAAAATTACAAAAAAAAGGTACAACAGGAAACAAATTACAATCATAGATTAACATATTATGAATAATAGTTCTCGTATTTAAAAAAAAAAAAAAAAAAAAAAAAAAAATAAAAGTATCATTCACATAACCTACCTTTTCGGATGACATAATGAAGCATTAAAATTTCTACTTAGCCGTACGTCGAAATGACTTTTATATTTTAATTACATTACTATCTATCGAGCCGTAACATGTTTTAATTATTGATTATTTAGACACTGTTTTTCACTCATATTAATATATCGACTTCGACCGCCATGTTGTTTACATCGATCCCTAGTCAAATTAATGTCCAGCATTATAATTGACCACTGCTGCCACTCGCGTCAATTTTGTGAATTATAACGCGATACGCGTATTAATCGTAGAAGATTGTTTCTTTTTTCTTTTTTTTTTTTTCTATTCGACGTTTTTTCTCAATCCAATGAAGAAAGAAAAAAAATACAAAACAAAAATAAAAAAAGGAAAACGAAAATAGCCAATGAACGCGCAGAAAAATTTTACCGAATGCGTCTCGAATGTATTAACGTTCGTTTACATATCAATTCGACATATATCGATGTTTCTTTTTTTTTTTGTTTTTTATTTTTTTATTTTTTCTTTGATCGAAGTTTCTAACCTCACTAAAGATCGTCGTAAAAGGATTAATACGACGTAAAAAAGAAAATTATTGATCAAGTATAGTACGCCTTGGAAATAGAATCGACTTCCGTTTCCGGTCTAATACACGAGCGTTGACAACCACAAGGTGGATATAGGATATCTTATAGGGAGAGAGAGAGAGAGAGAAAAAGGAGAAAATAGAGAGAGAGAGAGAAAAAGCATACACACGCTTATATATAAGAAACATAATCCTTCTTTTTCTAAGATCGACTTTGGACTTGACAATCTTCCTTACCGCACTGCCATTGACTTCGTATTATTGATAACGAAAAAAGCATAGAATAAGAAAAAAAAACAAAAAAAAAAAGAGAAAAAAAATAATTAAAAGAAAAAACTACACAAACGTACACGAATAATAAAAATTTTATTTTTTATATTTCAATTTTATTTTTACCCTGATCATATTGTTTTCCACGATGTAGATCGATGAAAAAAATTTTCGTCTTTCGAAAAAAAAAAATGTCTTCCATAATGATCCTCCATATTCGAACATTTAATATATATACATATATATATATGTGTGTGTGTATATATGTATATTTGTATTATATTGCCTGATAGCTTTTATATATATATATATATATATATATACATCCACTATTAGTATATACTACTACAGTGATTAAGATGAAAAAGAGAATAAAATGGAAAGAAGAAGAAAAAGAAGAAAAATCAAGATGGACGTCAAACGACAAAAAGTAGTCTAGAGTACCCGAATAAATAATTCGAAAGAAGAAGACTCGCAATATTGTTTGAATTTACTCGATCGACTTCGGTATACAGTTTGTTGTATCTTTCTCGCGAAAAAGGTTAAGAAATGTATGTATGTGTCTGTATAGAGAATAAACGTGTGCGTATGAGAGAGAGAGAGAGAGAGAGAGATACCTGGAATGGTAATGGTAATGGTAATGGTACCGGTGCAGAACGTCGGGAACGCGGATTATAAGAGCGCGTTTTGTTTCTTGCTCAATATCTCGAACCTCCTCTTTTGCTCAACCCTTCTTCCTCACACTCTTACGTTTACAGTTAAGGACACGATATACTTTGATGAAATTAAGCTGGACCCCGTTGTCTCACGGTCATTGACACACACCATATATATATATATATATATATACCAAAATTATTTTCGTATATATATATATATATATATATATAAATATATGATATATGATATATGATATATGATATATGATATATGAATATTATTTTCAATAAAAAATTTCTAACCTCTATAATGTCAATGTAAATGAATAAATTAATTTCGAATAAAAATATTATTGTACAATTAAAAAGGATTTTTTATGAAATGAAATGAGAGAAGAAGTATAATCAATACGTATAAAATATACGTATATTCGAAAGTAATATAATTATTTAATTAACTGTATGGCTATTATAGATTAAGTGAAATCGTCGTACGATAAGATAAATGTATTCATTATGAGAACATTTAATTTTACCTTTTAAAATATCACGTATTTACTTAAAGTCATATTAAAGCGTTATAAGATTTCGATAATTTGTTTTTCGCGCGTTTCCTTTGGCGGCCAATAGAGGCGCCACCGGTAATAATCTCATCGAGTCGTTACGACTTATGATCAGTCGCGGCCGCGAGTTCGTCGTGATAGGACGTGGATTTTTTTTAACCTCTCTCTCTCGTATTCGTCGTTACATCGTTCCTTATATGTTTCTCTTACGTCAAAACGCGTGGCTCTATTACGATCATTTTCTTCATTTTCCTTATTTTCTTTTCTTTACTTTTTAATCGTATCAATAGAGCACAAACGTTCGGTGTATTTCACATTTTTATTTCATAATTTCTTTTTCATATTTTTCCTCCTCGTATCATCATTATCATTATCTGATTATCATTATCATCATCATCATCATTATTATTATTATTTTTATTATTTTTATTATTATTCGTGAGAAGTGTGTGTTAGTGCTACGAAGTAAAGTGTCAACGAGGGAATTTCAATCCTGCAGATCGAGTCCATCGAGGAAGGAGGAGTGAGAAAGACAGAGAGACAGAGAGACAGGGAGAGAGAGAGAGAGAGAGAGAGAGAGAGAGAGAGAAAATCGAATCTTTCAACTGTTTTTCTATTTTTTTTTTTTCTTTTTTTATAATATTAAACAGGAGCCGTATCCTTTGGAAGAATTTCATCGATCTCGTAAAAAGAACGGGAAAGAAAAAAGAAGAAAAAAGAAAAAGGTCAGTGATAAAAATATTATATATCGTTATATATTCTTCTTTTCAAATGGGATTTAATTTATCAATGCGATTAAATTCCATCCTTTACTCTTTTTATTTATTTATTTGTTTGTTTTATTTTTTTTTTTGTCTCTCTCAGATCACAGATATGTATATGTATATGTATAATTTTCTTCGACACGTTTTCTTCGTTCGAAGAAAAATCTCAATGATTAGGACGATGATGTAATATCGAAACTGACATCATTGTTTAATCATAGTTATTTATGATTATAATATTTTCTATTTAAGAAAGAATATATTCTAATAACGTATTAGATCTATGTCGTGTCTTATGTACTTTACGTACGAGTAAAAAAAAATTCGCGCAATGCGTCTATCCCACCACTACCACCACCACCACCACCATTATTATTATTATTACGAAAATGGCGCACACCCACTGTTATCGAACTTATGATATTGTTTTCTATTATTTTTTATTATAATTATTATTATTATTGTATTAACTTATCGTTCTATCTCTCTTTTACATTGTAAGTTATAAAGTGAAATAAGATTTGATTTAAATCGTCGAAAATTTTTTATAAAATCAATATATATATATATATATATATGTATATATATATATGTATATATATTGTCCTGAAGTTTGTCACTTGACTGACGTAGTGCGTATGACGCAAAAAAAAAAAAGGAAAAACAAAAGAAAAAGGTTCGTACGATTATTTTTACCTATAAAGAACGTCCATTTTTTGGTTTTCTTTTTTCCTTTTTTTTTCTTTTTTTTTTTTATTCTTTTCTTCTTTATTTATTTATTTATTTTATATTTTTCTTCCTTATCATGTCCTAGTAAATGCACACGTATATATGGACAGAAATATCTTGTTTCTTTCTCTCTTTTTTTTTTTTTTTTTTTTTTTTTTTTTTGTTTTCTTCTTCTTTTTCAGGAGTGAATTTTCATTTTATTCGAGAATAAAATTCGTCGTTATCGTTCCTCTCGAATTTTATTGAAACAAATTCTAATAATAATGACAATAACGATGATGATTAATATCGTATAAGTATTAGATAATGTTAATTAAATTCGACGTATGTTTATAAAATAAAGAAACAAAATATTATTGTTATCATTATTCGCAAAATATTATTGTAGGGTAATAATAATAAGAATAAATATTGCACGAGTATCTATGGGTAAATATCGTTAAAGCAATGTATACCGACCTTTACACGTTAATGTAAACAACCACAAAGAGCCAACGAGATGATTATCGTTAGAATTGGTCTGTACTAACAGCGTGTTAGAGAATATCAGAAGTAATGCTTTACCTTTCTATTTGTTTTTATATTTTCTTTTTTTCCTTTTTTTTCGTTTCTTTCTTTTTTTCCCCTCTACGTATTTTTATTTATTTCTCATTCGACTGTTACGTATAATCGTACTTGATCATTCACAAAAATTATTATTATTATTATTATTTCTTTTTTTTATTTATTTGCATATTCATTTATTTGTTTGTTTGTTTGTTGTTTTTTTTTTTTCTAGAGAATCGAATTATTAAATAATTTAAAGTCTTGACTAAAATTGAAATTATTGAATAGAGATTTTTTTTTCCTCTCCTTAATATCAGAAATATTATTCAAAAACACACACAAAAAAAAAAGAAAGAAAAAAAAATAGAAGAAGAAAGGAAACGAAAACGAAATTATGTAACGTAATATTTTGTTATGAATGAAATTGCATTTCTGTATTATTATTATTATTATTATTTTTTTTTTTTTTTCTTATGAATTTTACGCATACGTATGTACCTATCTATCTATTTAAAATTTCATAAGTCCGTTCTTATGTATAGGAAGAAGAAAAAAAAAAAGACACGTTGCAGGTTATAAGAACTTAAAAAACAAAATAGAAAAAGAAAAAAAAGGAGAAAAAAAAGAAGAAAGACAAAGAAAGTTTTAGAACGAATCGTTTATACGCCCAAGTGAAAAGTTCCGATGAGAAAATTGTTATTCGGTATCCCGTCGATTAGAATGTCGGTGTCCTTGGATCGGTTAAATAAATCGATTACATAACCTCAAAAGTAAATATATTATTCGAAACGAGCCTTAATCGTACCGACACAATCATAAGGAAACACTCGTAATAATATTTGGATAGTTCTTGACGAATTTATGTCGAAGATAATTATTTTAAGGGAAAAAAAAAAAAGAAAAAAAAAAAAAGAAAATTAATACCATAAGATAAGATATATTAATCGATGAACTACAATTTTAAAACGATTAAATATAATTGCGCGATAAGTATATAGATTTTTATTTTTCGCTTATAGAAATGATTTCGTTTAAAGGGGTGGGCCAAATTTCACTATTAAAAAAAAAAAAAAAAAATCACTCAGAAAAATCACTAGTTTATAATAAAAAAAAAAATAAAAAAATAAAAAAATAAAAAGATCACGTGTAAGAAATAAAAAAAAATCATAATTAAAAAAGCTTCTTCGATTCCATAATAATAAATAAATAAATAAATAAAACAGTCGCCATTAAAGAAGAATTCCCCATTTAATAAATAATAAAACTCAGCATTGTTGTGATGAGAGATTTCATCGAAAAAAAAAAAAAAAAAAAAAAAAATCGCCATTTCATAGGAAAAAATTGCCATAAAAAAAAGAATCATTTCATAACAAAAAAAAAAAAATTACATCAATTTTTAAAAATCATTATTTAGAAATAAAAGAAAATTATAAATATTTATTTATATTTATTATTTTTTTTTTATATATTATTTAAATTTGTCGATTATAATAAGAATTTTCGAAGAATTGCCGAAATATTTGATTTAAGGATATATCTTTTTCTCTTTCTCTCTCTCTGTCTTTTTTTTTTTTTTCTTATTTTCAAGGAGGTACCAAGATTATGTGCGTTTCACTTTCGTGTTAAGAAGTTCGTGTTGTTGTCGAGCTCGGTAATAATCCGTGACTAATTGCCCCCGTTGAAAGATGCGATTCACAAGAATAATTTTGCTCTAATAGGTAACGTGAGTATTCTTTTTGTCGCGTGGACGTTTCTCATTATATATATATATATATATATATATTTTTTTTTTCTTTATTCTCTGTTTTGCTTCAGATTTGAAAAAAAAAAGATAGAAAGAGAAAAAATAACTACGAAGTCGGCTTTGTAATACTGCATGTCTAATTAAGGATCTAATAAGTCTCGTAAGTTAGTAATTAATTTGTCAAATCATCTAGTAACTTTTGGAGATCCAACGTTAATCCTTTATAGGGATAATCCTTTATAGGGAATATATAATTGATTTTTGAATTGAATTTTTTCTTTATTTTTTTTTTTTTTTTTTTCTAAGTTTGCTCTTATTTCTTCGTTTCCACTGGTTTTTCCATTAGAGTCATCTTTTTGTCATTTCGAGCGAGATCGTTATATGTATATATTTTTTTTATTGTGTGTGTGTGTGTGTGTATTTTTTTCCAGTTTCTTCTTCTTGTTTATTTATTTTTTTCTTTTATTTTTTTTTCGTTCCTTTTTTTTTTCTTTTTTTCTTTTTAATACATCAAAGTGTTTCCTCATGCGATATATTTCGTGGAATAATATTTGAAAAGCTTGGATGAATTTGGATTTTATGAGTGAAGTGTCGTGTTCTTAATAATTGTAGATCTTATCTTTTATCGTGTGTGTGTGTGTGTATATATATATATATATATGTATATAGTCTTATCAAAAAAAAAAAAAAAAAAAAAAAAAAAAAAAAAAAAAAAAAAACGTCTGTTTCCGTGTTTTATTCGAAAATCGAGATATTTTGCGATATAATTTTTCGAAATACCTGCATATATATATATATACATTGTTTTTTCTTCGTCTTTCGACATTCCATTTTCAACTGATGACGCCATTTCGAAATAATCATTAAACGAATGACGACGACGACAGCGATGACGACGACGACGAGACGACGATGATAAGAATCATTAACCTAATTTTTATTGTATTTATCAAGTTTTCGAGGTGTGGTTGATTTCGAGATTAAATCTGTCTCATCGTTTAAGTATTTATTAATAGTTTGTATTTCGTTATACGTCTTATCGTTCTTATCGTAATGACACATTCGAGAGCATTAAGATTAATGAATTAACAAGGATTTAATTTGATTCGTAATATTTTATATTTTTTCTTTTTCTTTTCCTTTTCTTTTCTTTCGTTCGTTTCGTTGATATCTCGTGAAGAAATTTTTATCACAAAAGAGATTTCCATTTCTTTTATTTATTAAAAAAAAAAAAAAAAAAAAAAAAACCATCGTCTAAAAATCTTCATTTTTTAAAAATTGTCGACTCATAATAATAATAATAATAATAATAATAATAATAATAATAATAATAATAATAATAATAATAATAATAATAAAAATTACTATTTAAAAACAAATGACAAATTTTTTATCGCCATTTCTTTTTTTTTTTCCCACAAACATTAGCTTATCAGTTTTTATGTATTTTCTATTTTTTTTCTTTTTCTTTTTTCCTTTCGGTCGATTTCACTTCAATGCTCATTTATTCAATTTTATCAATCTACGTTTCGCTCGATTACCATCGTCATTTTTTCACCATTCTCGTCGCCATTTTCTATTCCTTTTCTTTACTTCTCTCTTCCTAGGGACATTGATTATAAAATAAAGACGTAGAAAAAAGGAAGGGTATAAGTTTGATCGAGAAAAGAAAGAGAAAAAAGAAGAAAAGAAAAGGAAGAAGAAAAGTAACCAGAAGAAAGAAAATAAATTCCATAATCAGTAAAACGATCTCCATAAATATTTCTTTTTTTCCTGTTTTTCTTTTTTTTTTTTTGTATCTTCAACTTTTGATCGTAGACGTTGAATATAATTCAATGGAATATCTCCTAGTATAATTCTCCTCCACCCTACCTCAGTCCACCCTATTCCACCCCATTCGAACCCCCCCTCACTCCACCCCCTCCCTCACCCATCCCTAAAC